GGGATGGTGGCCAAGAGCGTYGGACTGGCCTTTGTTCGGTCCAACAAGGTCGTCTTTGGGGTCTCCCTCCACGGGGGGTCCGGGATCGTGCTGGCCCGCCTCTCGGACGGGACCTGGTCCGCCCCCTCGCTCATTGGCATGGGAGGCGTCGGCCTGGGCCTCCAGGTCGGACTGGAGGTTGCCAGCTACATTTTTGTCCTGCAGACCAKGGAGGCCCTCGAGCACTTTTCCCGGGGGGGATCCTTCACCCTGGGGGCCAACGTCGGGGCCGCCCTGGCCAGCATGGGCCGGGAGGCCATCGGGGCCGCCTCCGTCTCGGGGGCCCTCTGCGGGATCGCCCAGCMGATCCAGGCCATCAAGGAGGACGAGTACAACTTTGAGGAGGACGAGGAGGACCCCGACTACGAGGCGGACACCGAGAAGGGGGTGTCGGGCACGGGCCGGGCCTTCCGGAGGCGCAAGGGGGAGACCCCCTGCCACCCCGGGGGGGGCTGCCACGGGCCCTTTCCCCCGTCCACCGGCTGCGCCGGGGAGTGCTCGGGCCTGGCCAGGGCCCCGGCGAGGGCCCTCGAGGCCGGCACCGTCGGTGGCCTGGCCCCGGTGGTGGCCTAYGCAACCTCMAAGGGCCTYTACGTCGGGGTCTCCCTCGAGGGGAGCCGCCTCTTTGCCCGCCAGGAGGCGAACGCCCGGGCCTACAAGTACGAGAGCTACAACCACAAGGCGGTCACGGCCCGGGACATTTTGACGGGAAAGATCGCCGAGAGGCCCCCCGAGGCCGAGCCCCTCTACGCCCTCYTGCACGCCATYGAGCTGGCCCACGACTGGTCTTYGCTCCTTCCGCTGCCSGAGGGGGAGGGTGCCYGGACCSTGCCCTGGGAGTCGTCCGCTCYKCCCGTTTCCCCGGCTTGGGAMRCCCGAGAGAAGAACGAGAMRGAGGAAACCGRGGGGGACGAGCCCGGTCCGGAGGACTTTGCGGACAGGTTCCGTTCCTTTTTGTTCGGGGGCATCACCGTCACCCGCCTYTCCCGGAACCGCAAGCGGGAGCAGCGGACCCTGTGGCTCAGCTCCCCCGCCCCGGCGGAAGAGGCGGCCCCCTTGCATCCRCAACACCCYGCGCAGAAGGCCGCCARGGACAGCGAGGCCGAGCGGGGGTCCCTCCGGGTCGGCTTTGTCTCGAAGCTCTACCCGGCCACGGCCCAGCGCAAGCACCTGAGCGCCTCCCTCATCAACGACGTCAAGGAGACGGGGGTCGGCGGCCACGCCGCCGGGGGGAGCGTCGTGTCGGACACGGAGGGACTGGACGAGCTGACGCTGGATTCGGCGCTGCTGGTGAGTGGTGTTGTGCTGTGTTGTGTTGTGTTGTGTTGTGTTGTGCTGTTCTGTGCTGTTCTGTTCTGTTCTGTCGCGCCGCGTCGCGCAATGTCGTCTTGTATCGTTTTGGTTTGGCTTCGTTTGGCTTGGCTTGGCTTGGCTTGTTGGTTTTATATTTGTTTGGTTTGGTGTTTGGAGTGTATTTTGGAGCGATTCTGTGCGATGGTTGTTCCATGCTCGAAACACTTGCTGATTCTCTTGCGTTGCTTTTTTTTTTCCAATGTTTTTAAATATTCGGTCAGGACAACCAATCCCTGCTGACCACGACGGGCACCCTGCAAGAACGAGTCGAGCTATCCAAGAAATTGTCGATGGATCTGGTGGACGTCCTTTCYCTGACGCAATCGCCACCCCCCGACATTCGATTGGAAGATCCCTCGGAACGCAACCGAATCGTCTGCCTGGAATCCGCRGACGGCACCAGGCTCGTCTTTGTCGGAAAGACGGTCGAAGAAACCCGCTTGCTGTATTGCGGACTGAAAATACTTCTCGAGAAGGAGACGGCCCGGRTGGGCATCCGCGGTGGACAACAGAGCAGGTCGAGCAAAAAGAACCGKGTCATTGCGAGCGCGCTCAGAAACGGAAAGACGCCACCGTCGRCGGCGTCCAAGTTCCAGAGCAGGCCAAAACACACCGGTAGCAACAGCAGCGGCAACAACAACGGATCGGGTTACGCGAGCTCGGACATTGACGACACCGACGAGGGCATGAACGATCCGTCGGAMTACTACAACGCATCGGTCACCGCCGCCTTTCGGGACTCGCTGCCACAGGGATGGAAGTCCTGGGGGCGGGTTCCCGGACGATCCTACATGCGGGCCCAGTCGACCTCGCCCGACGACGGATACCCGACCTACGCCCACGGCCAGCTACTGATTCGCGACATTTGCAAGAAGGTGATTCTTCCCCTTCCACTGCCCCTCTGCCGGGTGTTGCTGCTGGACAGCTCCTCGCCCGTCGTTTCCAAGTGGGAGACGGAACGGGGGGATTCCGATTTCGAGAGGACCCCGTGGACCTTTCCGCCAGCGACCCCCCGGGAGATGGAGCAGTTCCAGTCCGAGCACCAGCTGATTGCCTCTGGTAGCATGTGCGGGGCCCACCGGACCATTTCCTACGAGCGGTTCCGAAACGGCCGGCCGGTCCGCCTCTCCGAGACCCACATTGTCGATTCGGACGACTCGGACAAGCTCGCCTTTCAGGTCAACGAGCGCCTCCCGAGGCGGGGCTTTTCCATCAAGGTGAACATTTTGCTCCGGGCGATCGAGAACGGAAGCGCATGCGAGGCTACCGTCCTGGGAGAAATCCGGCCGGTGGGAAAGAACATGTCCGATCCGGAGGCGGTGCACAAGGCCCTGCTGAAGGTCCTGGAAGAGCTGAGGAACCGATACGGAACGGACTACGTCGGCCTCATGGCGGGATTCATGAGCGTGGTGGAAAACATGCCCAAGGACGAGACGAAGCAGAGCCGGAGTCGGGGAAGCTTTTCCTCGTCCTGGAGAAGCGGCTGGGAGGAAAAGAAGGAAGACGGAGGAGGCGCCAAGAAAATCCTCGGAAAAACGAGCGTGGTCAAGTTCGAGGACGTTATGAATGCGGACGTGGGCATTGCGGACCTCCCGGATCCGAGGTTTGCCCAGGAGASCAGGCCGAGCAACAGGAGCGCCGACGACTACAAGAACCGGAAGCCCAAGCCACGGTCCRCCCCCGGAGACGACAACACCTTTGCGAGCACCTCGGATCCGGTGACGATCGAGGTCAAGCCCCTGCCCAAGATCCGGCTCAGCCTGATGCCGTCCCCCCGGGAGGAAGACGAGGAAAACCTGGACGACGAAGGAGAACCCAAGAGCAAACCAAAGACCTCCTCGAGCAGCAGAAAGTCCAGGTCGTCCGCATCGAAGAAGCGATCCCTGCTGAAAAAGAAGAAGGGCACGAAACGAGAAATCTAGAACCGGCCCGTTCGGAACGAGCGAGCCGGGAACGACACTGGACCGGTGGTCGTGGACCGGTCGGTGAGTCGTGATCGAAGAAGCGATCCTTTCCGTGAAAGAGAAAGAGCACGGAACGAGAAACAAAAAAAAACAAGCATTGGCTTGTGGACCGTTTCTTGTGCACCAACCCGTTGCACAACGAATGGAAACGAATAAACGTTAGAGAGCACCATGTGATGTGTATATATGCATATGAAAAATATATATGATAGAATAYATGAAACGAGATCGACGAACGGATCGAMCTATAAAGTTATAATCCAAAACAGTACAACAAGTTGTCAAATCRTCGCTGCTATGTTCCAGAAGCTGGTYCGCATTGGATGCCGTGTTCGTTGCAAACAATGTCTGCTGCGTCGAAAACACGGGCGAGAGCACGCTGCTAGTAGTAGCTAGCCGTCGCAATCCTTTAGCGCTGGCAGCACTGTTTTTCGGCACGAAATGACCTCGGCTGGAATTTGAAAAAGCAACTCTGGCAGCTGTTGTTGTTCTTGTCGTCGTTGTTGTTATTGTTGTTGCATGTTCCTTATCCTTCACCATCCAGCAGAGGAGCATTCATTGTAACTGTTATTGAAATACTACAGAAATCCAAACAAATAGCATACCGAATGGTTTATGGTTTTGCACAACTACTACAAGTACGTACGTACGTTCGTACGCTACTACTATTCCTCTTCATACTTTAGTTTGTACGTGTACGTAGTACGTAACGTAAGGAGATTATCTATTAAGAGTACATAAGGATATGTATCTGAAGACGAAGAACTTGCGATTTTTTTAAAACCAATAGCCAACCAGCTCATGGTTCGTACCGTACGGTACTACGGTACGGTAGGATGGACAGACAAACGAAGGATGTCGTTCCTGTTCTTTACGAGTGGTACAGAATCGTACGTAGTGCGCAGGCGACGTTCATCGCTCCCTCTCTCTCTAAACAAAAGAGCTTCCAAAGCCCCCACCGGTTCTCTCAAGGAGTTTTTTCGTGCGTAATTCTTACCGTTGGTATCAATATATATTTAAATGTTACTCCGCTCCAAAATAATTAATGTGCTGTCATGTTTGGTCATTTTTGTCATTGTCGGTGTCGCCATTTGTTTAGGGAGTTGTCCCCAGCTTCGAAAAGGGATTGACGTTCCGTGGAACAGCCCGGCGCACCCGGATGTTCGTACGGGAAACCCCATTCGGCGGCAATGTTTTTTCGAATCACCAATGAACGACCGACACCGTTCGTGGAACACGAAAGGAAGAGAAGCAGCCGGGCCTCCCTCCGGAAGTTACCGCGTTCCATGCGCGATTTCAAGCGCCAAACCTCGAGAGCCATAAATACCACGGGACGTCCCTCCGCAAAAGAAGAATGCGTGGTATTCCACGTGCGATTTTCTTTCCTTCAACTGCCGTTGCGATTCAGGGAATCTTGGTTTCAATCGGAAGAGACGTGTCACAGTTTTCATGGGTGAGAATTGGGGATTAGCACGGAGCGTATCGTTTCGGTTTTAGATGAGAATATTTAGTTTTAGCAATAGTTTGATGCCATCTGCGCTGCTAAGATGTTGTCTCCACTTTTGTTATTCCTGGGGGACATCTCCCAAACTACCAGCACCTCCATCGGCAGAATACACCCCAGTTCCTTAAATTTTATGGTTCCTTTGTACTTGCTTCCTTTATCGGGGCAGGAAACATCAACGGACGCCATGGCCAAGGCACTACTAATTTGATGGATTCCGCAACAGCATACCGGGAGCCCTTATGTACCGCACCTTCCTTCCACGAGTTCGCAGAGCACCGGCAAAACACTCCATTAGCGTCTCCTATTCTACAACCTACCGTCCCTAAGCGTACAAGCACGGCACCATCGAGGCAAAAAGCCTTAAAAACCAAGGAACTTGCAATCGTTGATCCCTTCTGTCTCGCATTGTACCGTACCCTTCAGTGCAGCCAACGAAACGAAACGAAACGCAACGCAACGCAACGCAAACCGAAGGGGTGAGTACAGTTTTCCCTTGTCGCAGAGCACCCGCACCGCACCGCACCGCACCGCACAACGAAAATACACACGCCTTAAAAATACATACTTCTTGATTCTTTCGTTTGGAAAGAAGAAAGGAAGACGGTACCCGACTTTGGCGCAGTACCTTTAAATTTTKAACGAGTGCATTACATTCTGTACCGTKGACCAAGGGTTCTCTCGGCGCAGTCGTGGCATCATACTTTGACATTCATACTASATCCTCCGTCACCAAAGAACAAGCATCMCGAACAKCACTTTGAAYACTTATAACGCAATTCAATCMASGAAGAACACGTGACAGTATGGTTTCCACACAATTMAACCACCACAACAGGGTCGGCACCGGCGGGAGTTGCACTGGAAGCAAGAATGGCTGCGCAAACATCACCATCAACGTTCCGGGCAGCTACAACAACACGAGCAATCACCAGAACAGCGGAGGCAACGGCAACAGCAAYCATACCGTAAACAACAACGGGAAGAACATGCACTCCGAGGTGGGCATGGCGGCCCCCGTAAGTATTTTAGTACTCGTGATCGTGATGGTGCTCGTGATCGTGCTCGTGATCGTACTTGTGTTTCGATAGTAGGCTTGTGGTAGAATCGATATCGATCCGATGGAATTCACAGGAATGCATTCGATGGAATCCATTGGTTTTCACGAGCGATGGTTCGTTCGGTTCCTGGATCGGTGCATGAACATGGACTGCGTACATACACATACTCGAGAGCACACGGTCTTGCTCGGGTAAAAAAACAAATGGAGCAAACACCATAACAACGGAGAGGGTATGTTTCGGTGCAACACAACCTCTGGAAGCATCAGAAACTGCCGGACTGATGGATGGGTGTGGTGGAGAACGGTATTTCTTCAAACCAAGTGAAGTACCGCACGAACCAATCATCCTGGGAACGAACGAACGAACGAACGATCTGCCCGGATTCGGAAAAAACGCATCGGCTGGGATGGCCTCTGGTGGAAGAGAGGAAGCCACGAGTGTTGCGGAAAGCGACGATCGTGTTGCGTGGAACAAGCACAGCACTTTTGAATGTTGGAACGAACGATGCGGTCCATCGCTGTCAGCCAACCAATGCATCGCATCCACCCCTCCATCGTTTGGTCCTACCACGAGGTCTGGGACGGGAGGAACCAGATCTCTCGATCTCTCTTTGGCACCTACAATGCCTTCCGTTTCAAACCATTTGTTGTCCTCGAGCGTCTCCTCTCGATTTGTCTACGGGACCGGACTCCCCATTCTTTCCTTTCACTGCCCATTCGTCGTTGCCGGAGCCAAATCTCACCAGGCCTGTTTGCTTCCATTTTCTTGTAACTCGCTCTCTCTCTTTCTCTAACGCCCCGTTCGCCGGGCAGTCCGAGTACCGGAAGTATCAAGAGTACGACATTGCGGTCGATCCGGAACAGGATGACAAGGCCACCGAGATCAAGCTTTGCTCGCTGGCAAAGCCCCACATGATGGCCTTTCACTGTTCCTGGTGGGGATTCTTTGTGGCCTTTTTCATTTGGTTCGCAATCTCCCCCCTCCTCAGCGAGATCCGGGAGGATCTCGGGCTCTCGGACCAGGCCATTTGGAACTCCAACATTACCAGCGTTGCCGGAACTATCTTTATGCGCATCGTCCTCGGTCCCTCCTGCGACAAGTGGGGAGCTCGAATCCCCATGGCCGTGGTACTGGTCCTGTGCTCGATACCCACCGCCCTTACGGGCTTTGTCAACTCGGGCATCGGCCTGGCCTTTTTGCGGTTGTTCATTGGCTGTGCCGGTGGAACCTTTGTCATGTGCCAGTATTGGACGTCCCGGATGTTTGCAACGGAGGTGGTGGGCACGGCCAACGCCCTCGTAGGAGGATGGGGAAACCTCGGGGGTGGCGTCACGCAGCTGGTGGTCGGAGC